TCCTGATTTTACCCACCTTGGAAGGATGGAAGGCTGAGTCAACCTTGAGCCTAGTGAAATTTGATCTGCAAAATTGCAGGCAGCCGGCAGGCAGCAAAAGTAGCCTGCAGTACTGCATTCTAACCACTGCGCCACTACGGCTAAATCCACTATAGCCAATAATCAATCACATATTTGAACATTTTGTTTTCAGACAAGTGAGTTATTGCACTATCTTATGGTTTATTCATGATTTGTTGAATAGACCATAACTGGCTCTGGCCACACACTGAACTAAGATAAAAACAAACAAACACACAACAAACAAGCATTAGGGATTAGTGCAGGGGTCGGCAACCTTAAACACTCAAAGAGCCACAAAGGCCCTAACCAGAAGCTCCCCATTCAATTCTGGAGCCCACTGGAAGTCTGGTTCCCCCCACCATAGTGTCTCCTCCTAGTGCGGCATCCTTTTTCCTCTGCCAACCAGAAGTTTAGTTCCCCCGCTATAGAGTCTCCTCCTAGTGCGGCGTCCTTTTTCCTCTACCTATCCTAACTGAAATCCCTATCAATTGTGGAGCTGACTGGCAACAGGGGGCCACAGTAGAGGGATGAAAGAGCCACCTGTGGCTCCAGAGCCACAGGTTGCTGACCCCTGGATTAGTGTGATGTGCAAATTTCAACCACTACTTTTGGCATAGGATTAAAAGAGTCCCCAAAGATCTTCCATTCCAAACTTATGTCTGGACAAAAATCCTCAGGCATCCCAGAAAAATGGCTGTCCAATCTTTCTTTGAAAATCTCTAGTGATGAAGCACCCACAATTCTTGGAGATAGATTATTCCATGACTTAATAGCTCTCATGAACAGTGTCAACAATGTTTTTGTTTTGAGTTTGGATCTCTTTGTAAATTTTAAACCCATTGCTCTTTTCCTATCCTAATGAACCATGAACTATGGAAAATAAATCCATGCTCTCTGTGACAGTCCTTCAAGTATTAGAAGAGTACTATTTTGTTTTCCCTTAGACTTATTTAGGTGAAATATACTAAATTCTTTTAGTCATTTTTCATAGATTTAGTGTCCAAGCTCATCAACATATAGTATTTCTTGCTCTTCTTTGTAATCTTTCCAATTCCTTGGCATCCTTTTTATAGTGTGGCAATAAACCTGGATACAGCATTCTAAAAGCAGTCTTACCAGTACTGTGCTGAGCAGAACAATTATACCTCTGTTGATGTAGATCTGGACTGCATTACCTCTCTTTTGGTAGGTGCAGTATGTAACTAACACATGCTTAATCAGTGGTTGACATAGATATCCAGATCCTATACATAGATCCTATTCTATACATAGATATCCAGACCCAAAGGGAGAGGGATACGGCATTCTCCAGTCTACAACACAGTCCTTTCAACAGTTCCAAGAAGGTTCCACACACCCATTTCTACCACTCCGCTGACCCTGATGACAAGATAAACCTCCAGGTAGCCTTAACAACTTGCTAAAAGGATGCAAATGACCAGCTGTCTGCAAGGAGTATAAATCCTTTCATCCCCCCACCCCCATCCAGTCAGAGCCAAAGAAGCTTCTTGGATGAGAAGCAAAATGTCTCCAAAGAAAAACCAGAAAGTCCAGTTTCCTCTTGAAAAAGCATCTTTGGGACAACCATGACCATGAGACTCTCCATAGACGTATCCAGATCTTTCTTACAACTACTGCAACTGAGCTACCTCAGTGCACAATCTACATTTCTTGACATTTAACTGCACTTTGTTAAAAAAAAAATAATGTTAGCACATCACCAATCTTTTTGGCACTTCCCATGTACATAAAAGTGCTCATTAAGATTACAATTAATGGTTCTGAGATCTTCTATTTTTTGTTATGTGGCCCACTTTTCATTTTTTTAAACTTAATTTTTTGTTTTGTAATTTGTCAGAGGATTCTCTATGCAGCCATACCAGTATCATCAGCTGTCTCCCATTTTTATTTCTCTTTAATATTGTCTGTCATGGCCCCATCAGATCCGAGGAGGAGGAGGAGGAGGAGATGGAGCCTGGGCCAACAGTGGGAGCAGTCCCTATGGCCCCTGAGAAACAACCTGGGGATGAGGACGAGGCAGTCCCAAGTCCCTCGGACCTCAGAAGAGTAAGCAGGGAGGAAAAGAGGGTGCAGGCAGACCAAGGAAGGGGGGAGGGCAGGCAGCAGAGCAGAGGTTCAGAGCTCCTGGGCAGAGCTCCAGAGACAAGCAAATGCTTCCCCTACCCAAGTATGGAGAATGGAGAGGAGGCAGACTCAGCACAGGACAACCTGATTACTTGGGAGGAGGGTACTCCCCTCCTCCCAAAAATCACCTGGAGAGTAGCATTTAAGGAGATGCTGGGGAGAGGGTTTTTTTTGTCAGGAACAAGTGTGTTCTGCCCCAGCTATGAACCCCAAAGAATGCAGCACACACAAACGCTATACAAAGCTTATTTTACTCAAATAACTTAGTCTTTATCAACCAAAGGCTGTTAATAAACTGTCTTAACAACCTACCAGAATTCTAAGATAAGGTAATCACAGTCTTACTTGAGTTGGCAGAAAGCCCAGAAACAATTTTGCAGAGAATCCAGACGCAAAGGAGATTGAACTAAGGTTGTTCCCTACAGCTTGCTGCAAGCAGTGTTCCTCCTTAAATAGGCTAAGGGAGTGGCCAATTAGCCCCAAGCCTTACTCTCAAGGAGACCTCCTCCTGAGGAGCCACTCCTGCCTTTTGGCAGCTCTGCGCGCCCATGCATTGAGAAGAGGCTCCTCCTCTTCGTCCTCTTCACTTAAAGGAGCTTCTGGAGGTTCTGAAGGCCCTGGCTGAATCCCCGCCTCTGGCACCACATCTTCTCCAGCCTCCTCACTGTCTGACTTGAGCTCCAGCTGCACAGGCTGCTGGCACAGCACCACACCAGTCTCCTCATTGTTGGAATCAGCTACAATCTGCACAGGCCGCTGACAGGCCACAACAAAGTGTTGTATTTCACAACAACACGCTCCAGTGCTCCAAGAAGAATTTTGCTTCCGAATCCTTGCTGGTGTGGACTGAGGTTTGATCCTTTGCTTTGACATTCGTCATGAACTTTGCCAAATTTGAGAGCCTGGCTTGCCTCCGGAGTGGTGCTGCTCCTGACTTTCACTGTTAGGAAGTTGCATGAAGCGTGTGTGCGGGCGTGTGTGTTCGAGCCTTCCTCTTGGACCGTAAGGGTAACCTGGGGGGCAGAGACCTTGGAGAATGGACTGGGAATTGCTGGATTGGGGGGGGGGGGGGTTGAATAAAAGTTGTCAAGCTTCCACCTACCACGAGTTGCTTGCGCACCAACTCTGGGTCGTAACATTGTCTGTCTTGGGGCCTTAATTATCTAATTTTTCAGAATTTTTCAATCCTTCTGAACTTTCTTTTCCTTCAGATTTTCTCACCATGGAATCATTCCTACATTTTCCCTTATAGTTGATGAAGGCTATTGCTGAGCACATTGTAAGCCTCCCTGAGTCTCTGGAGAAGGGCGGCATATAAATCAAATTAAAAAAAATAAATTAGAAGAGCCGAGGTGGTGCAGTGGTTAGAGTGCGGTACTGCAGCTACTTCAGCTGACTGCTAGTTCAGCAGATCAGCGGATCAAATCTCACCGGCTCAAGGTTGACTCAGCCTTCCATCCTTCCGAGGTGGGTAAAATGAGAACCCAGATTGTTAGGGGGCAATATGCTATTTAATATACTGTCTTTGGTGTAAGGCGCCCAGAGTTCTCGGAGAGTGGGCGACATAGAAATATGAATAATAAAAATAAATAATAAAATAATAAAATAGATTCTCTTGGATCTCTCACTTGCTGCAACGTTCTCAGCTGACACTGGGAATAGTTGAAACTATATCACCGTTGTATGTTTGCTGGACACCTTGGATGATTTTCAAAGCTGTCATCTAATGGTAGAGGAGATAATGGTGGAGGATATTATATAGTGGGGGTGGGGGGGATGTCGTACAATGTCCTAGACAGGGGTGGGATTCAGCCGGTTCGGACCTGGTCGGAAGAACCGGTAGTTGTGACCTGCAGGTGGACACACACACCCCGCCGTTATGCTGTCCTATTTAGCTGCATTTTTTAAGCTGCATGCATGCTTGCAACCGCACGCACAAGCAAAGCATATGCACAGAAGGCTCTGTGCATGTGCGGAAGGCGTAAGAGAGAGCGAAGCCAGCGTGCGCTCACGCACACTTACATTTTCATTGCTGGGGTGAACCGGTTGTTAAATTATGTGAAGCCCACCTCTGGTCCTAGATTAGGCTAAAATGGGATTGAGTTATAGTGTTTTAGCAAGTTGTAAGAGCCATGGTTAAGCTCTAATATGGTTGGCAGAGCACAACATGTTACATGAATGCGGTTTTAGTAACATAGGTTTATCGTTTTACATGTACATATAAGCCAGTCATTGTGTGTGGTTGCATCTTCCAGAGCTTTATTAGAGATAGTGGAATTGTAGATATTTCCTCTATTCTGCTACTTAGAGCAAAGAGGCAGGTGCAGATAGAATGGACAAGTCTTTTTTTTTTAACTAATGATCTACTGCCACCTAGTGGTGAACAAGAAAAACTGCAGATGGCTTAAAATAGGAAGACAGGAAATGTGAGGGGGGGGCCCTCACAAATCTTTATTTCAATTTAAAGGAATATTCTTCTTGTGTATGAGGATATTCAAGCATAAAAGTATTTCAGTGCAGTCTGTTTATGGTTTTACATAGAATATAGTATCAAAGAAAGATTCGATCAAACCACATGATATATACATATTATATATATATATATATATATATATATATATATATATATATATATATAATATAACAATTAATATAAAATATAATAATAACAATTGTAATAATACAATTGTTATTATTAATTCAAATTTATATAGTTGCCCATATGTAGGCTAGAAAGGCTCCACTAAGAATAATGTGACTAATTGTAGTCAAATTCTTCTGTTTTCACCCAGATGAATCCATTCAGGGACAGGATCTGCAAGGTCTTCTCCACAGATGGCTACTTTACATTTGAGGACATCCTTGGGATGGCATCTGTCTTCAGTTACCTAGCATGTCCCACCCTTAAGGTTGAATACGCTTTTCGGATTTATGGTATGTCATTTCCCATTGTAATATTGTTGTGACCCAGGCCCAAGTAGGTATTATCAGACACAATCAGTTCGAAAACAAACAGACTTTAATAGAACAGCTGAGAATTAACTCATTTTCAGCATAGTCCAAACTAATTTAAAACAAATTCTTCATAACAATTCTTCAGCCCTATCACTAACCTATCTAATTAGGCAACCTGCCAAAGGCTTGTCTTGGCAGAAGTTCAGAAGCAGAAGACTCTGACAAGAAATAAATGCAACAAGACAAGAAACAAAGCTATCAACGTTGTTTTCCGACAAAGAGCCCAAGAGCCGTTGCTGGTCTTTTAAGCCTTATGGAAGGGGCCTATCATCTCTTGGCCCTACTCCCGAGTCGTCCTTTTTGCCTCAGCTACTCTTGCCTTCTGGAAACTCTTCTCATGAGTGAACTAGGAACAGGCTCCTCCTGTTCCTCTGTCTCTCTGCTGTCATCTCTGGAGGCTCCGGAGGCTCCGGAGTCCGCACATCACTCCCCGATGGCCCTGGCCCCATCTCTGCCTCTGACACAGAGCCCTCATCCGGGCCTTCCCCAGCCTCCAGGACTGGCCCATGTTCTTCCTCAGCCTCCTCACTGTCCGACTCCACTGCCAGCTGCTGCTGGCGGACCACAACAAATATCCTCATAACAGTTTCAGTGTAAGAAAAAGCAAACCTCCTCAGGTCTGGAGGCACTTTGAGGATGAGATCAGGAATTGGAAGCCCAGGTGAGATTGGAACCATTTTATTTTTCAAAGAGGGGATAGAAACAACTGCAGACACGGCCCGAGCAGAAACAGTTGTTGGGTTCAAGCCATAATATGGCTAGTTTGGTTTTTACTTTAAAAAATGAAAAAAGGAAGGGAAAAGAGAAATTTAAAAGCAACTCATATAACATACAAAAAAGAAATTCAGCTGAATTTTCAATTTACTCACTAAAACTTGAAATGACATGAAATTATGTTAATCAGTTTTCCCATTGCAGTGATATTCCATTGCATTGTCAATTTATAAACAGAAAGCATATATCTATAATCCGAGATTTAAATCCAGAGTAATTCGGTATTCCCAGCATTGAATAATTATCTTGTCACTGCGTCTACTTTTTAGAATACATTCCCCTCAGAGAAACACATCACAAAATATGTTTTCCCCCCTCCAAGCCTTGCTCAGGATGTTTTGGGTAGCTTCTTTTAGTTGTGGGTGATGGTGTTGCATGTTATTCCCTCATATTGTTGTAATGTATACCTGTTAAATAATACTGTTTGTTCAATGTATAATGTTGCAGTCTTTTAGCCTTGTGAAGCCACCAAGTATTGTTTTGGAATTGGCCTGGAAATTTGATGAATAAATAAATAGCCTTACCACTCCTTTGGTGGATTAATTCTAGTGAATGGCTTGCTCATCAAATCATGATTAAATTGTGGTTCAGGACATATGTGATTCCTGTAATGACGCTGCCTCCCCATTGCAAATGCTTTCCATATGTTGTATACAGGTTATTCACAAGCAGCTTCAAGCCATATTCAGGTTCAGTGTGGAAGTCAATGGGAAAAAAGAGAAAAGGAATCAGATTGTCAGAATTGGGACTGCTTATACAACATGTCCCAAGCAGTGGTGGGTTGCCCCGGGTTCGGACTGGTTCTATAGAACCAGTAGTAAAACCGGCGGGAGGCTCCGCCCACTGATTCCGACGTCATCAGGAAGCTTCTGTGCATGCGCAGAAGCACACACGAGTGAAGCGGCCCCATTGCAAACCGGTAGTAAAGGTAAGTAGAACCCACCTCTGGTTCCAAGGCCAGTTCTTGGCATATTCTGCTGCAAAAAAATCAGGCAGATGGAGACAGAAAACTTATAGGTTTAATCATTATAAACATTTTTGGGCTGGATGGACTGAGTTTCTGTGGCAGTTTTATGAGTAAAAATAGCATTATTATTTGTGTAATTGGCTCTGGGCTGTGTAATAATCTGTAAATCTTCCAAGTTCCACCCTATTTCTACTTTTCACTATATTTTAATTTCCCAGATTTCAACAATGATGGTTTTATTGATGAGGAAGATCTTCAAAATGTCATCCGCAGATTAATCAACAAGAATAACCTCAGTGAGGAAGAAATTGTGTCTCTGGCGAACCATGTAGGTAATTCCTCCCTTTACCACCTTGGGACTTCAGGGACTGAAGCCTTAGCATAAAACAGTTTTAGATGGTTTAAATATCTTTTCAGTAGAACCTGGGCATGAGGGACAGAGCTCTTCTGTCTTCTAAAGGCCGTCTTCAACCTTCCAGCTGTGTTGGGAAGGCAATGACTACCTTGCCTTCCCAACACATCTCTGAGTTGTAGTCCAAGCATATTTTGAGAATGAGATTGGAAAAAGAAATCCATTTTAGAGCACAAAAATAAAATTATTACCTTGATTAATATGAAACAACAGAAATATTATTTCTGTATAATACATACTTTGTGTTTGAAACAGATTTTGGAGGAAGCTGACTTGGATAATGACAGAATGCTCTCTCTAGCAGAATTTGAACACGCTATGATAAAGTCTCCAGACTTCCTACAGTAAGAACAATCCCCACCCTATCCCCTCCAGATGTAGTTGAGCTTCTTTGTTCTCACATCATTCAAATCCAGCTCTGAAATCTCTCGTTCTATAATGTTTTATGTAATTTCCCCTACAAAAAAATCGGCCAAATTTGTACTAGGTTACATTCTGCCAACCTAGCAGTTTGAAAGCATGTAAAAAATGCAAGTAGAAAAATAGGGGTCACCTTTGGTGGGAAGGTAACAACGTTCCGTGCACCTTTGACGTTTAGTCATGCCGGTCACATGACCACGGGGACGTCTTCAGACAGCGCTGGCTCTTCAGCTTTGAAACAGAGATGAGCACTGCCCCCTAGAGTCAGGAACGACTAGCACATATGTGCGAGGGGAATCTTTACTTTTACCTTTTTATATCAGATATAATGACTATGATATGAAGAATGGTTGCAGGAACTGGGTATGTCTAGTTTAATGAAAAGAAGGACTAGGGGAGACATGATAGCAGTGTTCCAATATCTCAGGAGCTGCCACAAAGAGGAGGGAGTCAACCTATTCTCCAAAGCACCTGAGGGCAGGACAAGAAGCAATGGGTGGAAACTAATCAAGGAGAGAAGCAACTTAGAACTAAGGAGAAATTTTCCGACAGTTAGAACAATTAATCAGTGGAACAACTTGCCTCCAGAAGTTGTGAATGCTCCAACACTGGAAGTTTTTAAGAAGATGTTGGATAACCATTTGCCTGAAATGGTGTAGGGTTTCCTGTCTAAGCAGGGGGTTGGACTAGAAGACCTCCAAGGTCCCTTCCAACTCTGTTATTCTATTCTATTCTATTTTTTTCTATAATGCTACAGAAAGCCTGGCCAAGGCAATTTTGACAGATTTCTAACATAGGGAAGGGAATATGAGGAAAAAAAAAGTAATACTGGAGACTACACTAAATGTCAGGCTGCAAGATGGAAAAACACTTACTTTTCAATGTTCACTGCAAGAAATTTATTTTTTTAAATATGATTCCATTGGCATTTTTTTTCTGTAGATTGGATGGTATATAAAAATGGACTACAACCCCTTTTATATTCCTAAAATAAAAAATGAAGGCATTAGACTTGTTTCCAGTGTTGTCCATGTTGGAACTTTCAACAAATGTGGGACTACTAAATGCCCCACTTTCATTGTTCTGAATATTCAAGCTCAGCATTTTTCAAGCTCAGAAAATTTTCTACCCCTTCCCAAAACTATTATTATTACAATTAGAAGAAGCTTCATCTAGGCTTCTCCTATGTAGAATAATTAAAAACAATCAGAAGATAACTTCACATCAGCATATTGATGCATTTATAGGTGTATGATTAAATCATAACTCTACTACAGCAAGAATTGAGGTATTTTTAAGTGATGAATCCTGGGAATTCAGATTGGCTCAAAAAAATTCAACCAAATTGTGACTTTAGGATAAATGACTTGTCATTACATACCCAACCAAAGAGGTCTTTTATACTTGGGCTTTTTCAGAAATGGAGCAGGAGACTGAGATTACCTGCTTTCTGGACACCATATTCTTTATTATCTCTTTATTTTCTGGAGACTTAAATGGACTTCTCTTGACTCCATTATATTCCTGAAAACCCACAAGGTGCTTCAGAATCTGTCCCTTCTTTGGTTCTCCTAGCATGTTTTAATAGCTTATCATTTGCTTGGTATTGAATGTAGGAGCCGTGGTGGCACAGTGATTAGAATGCAATATTGCAGATAACTCTATTCACTGCCAGGAGTTCAATCCTGACCAGTTCAAAGTTGACTCAGCCTTCCATCCTTCTGATGTCGATAAAATGAAGACCCAGATTGTTGGAGGCAATATGCTGGCATTTGTAAACTAGAGAATGCTGTAAAGCACTATGGAACAGTATACAAGTCTAAAGTGCTATTGCTATTATGCTTAGAGAACATGAGCTACTTATTCTGATTTTGAAGCAAATGAAGGTGATTGCTTCAATTTCTCAATGATTTACTGGATAAAATGTCAGCTAACTGGCATCCCATTGGTGCAGGATTAATGGCAGGATTCACAGGATAACTGTTCAAAGTATACTCATAAATGTATTATGCAGTCATGTGTCAGAATTTACCATGTACTTGGAAATATCTTTAGTTAGACTTTGGTTAGCTTTGTTGAAGTCCAAATTGTGAATAAAAAGTTTAGGCATTTCCTAGAAAAAACAGAATTGTGGGAACAGGAAGCAGCATTGCTATGCAAGGTAGATCTGGTTATATATGAATTTAGTAAGCTGTCCAAAAACAAAGACAGGAAGGAAGACAGAAATAATTTAAAGTCAAGTGAGACCTAGTCCAGAAAACTAATTAATGTTCTTTCCAGATCCTTCAAGATCTACTTCTGAGAGACAAGAATGTGACAACATGAGAGATTCAGGACCTTGCAACTGGATGTGCACAAGATAACAAATGTTAACACTAAAAACTGCCATGAAAGATCAGATAGCAAATCAGTCCATGTATTTTTGCAAATAATATGCAAATAAACAATGATTCTGAGAAGAGGAAGAAAGAAGTCATTTATCTAAGTTTGTCTTTTTTTCCATCCAGTGCAGTTATAGAGAATGACATTTTCATAGCAACGATAAGCACTTTTTGTACAAGAAGAGAGGGAGAATTTGGCTATACAATGCACTTAATTTTCTCTATAATAAATTCCTCTATACTAAAAAGGAAATATTTTTATTCATTACTGCTTTATTTAGAGGTTTTCTAACCAATACTTAACCACAAAAGCTCTCAGTGCAAATATCATATCAGTTAAAAAAAGTGCCCTCTAAACTTAGAATATAAATAGGCACAATTAAGTAAGCAGAGATGAAATAACCAAGAGGACAGAGAAATTAGAGATAGTCCATGGATTATGACCACAATGGACCCTGTTACAACATCACAGTTGTAAGTTGTGACAGTCATAAAACAGGTCACCTACCTGACCAACCAGACTTTTACAATCTTTTTTCAGTGGTTGCTAAGTGGATGTTGCCGCCATTAAGCCAATGCCACAGTCACTAAGAGAACCAATGGTTCGCAATGGATTAGTTTTGTTGAAAACCAGAAGTAAATGCCAGTTTTGGGCAAAAATGTCATAAAATGCAGTCACGATTGCATGATGTTGCAAATGTCCATAAATGTGGGCTAGTTGTTGCACACCTGGCACAAATGTCATGTGACCATGGGATAGGATCATAAGTACCGTAGGGAGATCCATCATAACTTCAAACAGTTGCTAAACCATGAGTGCTAAGTCAAGAAATACTTGTATTCAGAAACTCAAAATGAAAAAACTCCGCTCTGCTCAAAACTTAATAAGAGTCCAAAACATCAGGAAGGTCACTCTTTCTCTTTAAGAAATCTTTCATTTATGAAGAAGAATAAGTAGACTTTTCCACATTTTGTGAAGCTGATGATTGTGACCAAGAACAAGAAAGGATTTGTTCCTTTGACCCTCTCTGAAGAAAGAGAGGGTACAAGACTGCCCAACTCTCCAGACAGTGGCTTCTTACAAGAAGAATGTACGGCAGCAGTCTCAGATTATGAGACAACCAGGAGATGAGAGAATTTACCTTTCTTGTTCCAATCACATCCAGAGTCTTCAAAGGACATTACGATATGTTTCGGAGTATAAGACGCACCTTTTTCCCTCCTAAAAGGGGGTGAAAATTTGGGTGCGTCTTATACACCGAATGTAGCCCCGCCCACCCACTGGCCCCCACTCTTTGGCCTCTGCCTCCCAGCAATTTACCTCCTTGCAACAAGCAGCAAGAAGAAACAGCCTGTCTTAGCTTCAGCACAGCCTAATTAGCATAAGTTGATTGTCTATTGGATCAGCCTCCTGACTCTCAGCTGTTTCAGGCTGCAGGGATTCCCAGTGCCTATTGCTGCGCGGGCCTCTGCTGCTTGCTGCAAGGAGGTAAACTGCTGGGAGCAGATTTTTTTTTCTTGTGCTAATCAAGCTATGCTGAAAACGAAAATTAAAGTAAAGCAGGCTATTTGCTGTTTGCTGCAACGAGGCAAAATTGCTGGGAGGCAGAGGCAGACGCAGAGGCAGATTTCTTTTTCTTGTTTTCCTCACCAAAAAAAGGTAGGTGCGTCTTATAGTCCAGAGCGTCTTATACTTCGAAAAATACGGTAGTTTGCACATTCGTTGCTAAACACCTTCAGATATTGTCTATCACCTGCTTTAAAGAAGTTAGACCCCTTTAAAATAACAAAGCTGGAAACACTGAACATGTGCCTTCAATCCTTAGTATACAAAAATGAAACTTTCTCTTTATAAACTTTATAAATTCAAAGTAAGCATCAAAAAACAAATCAACGTTTTGATTATAGAAAGTTTTAAACAGTTTAAGGGCTCAGGGAAAGTTGGAATATTTGATTTTGAATATTAAGCCTGAAATAAATAAAATTTAAAGAATAAATGCATTTTCAGGGGAAAGAAAAGTTATTTTTTATATAACAAGATAAACAACGAATAGTAGTGTTCATAGATGTTGTTGAGAAATGGAAATAGGACTTTGAATCAAGATTGCTGGCTATGTTGCATGCTTTTTTTAATGAATACCCTGTTCCTAGAAGAAGCTGTGATACCACAATATGCTATTATAAAAAAAGGTTTGAAAAGAAATGATCTGACAAAATTATGAACAACATGAACAAGAATTTATCACTGATGTACTCAAAAATATTGGATAAGGCTGTAAAAATTAAGAAGGAAATAAAAATGCCAATTAAAGAGAGCAATTGGAATAATTTCTACTGCTGGACTTATGAAAGAAGTTTGTTGAAGTTTGAAGAAATTCAAGACAGGGAGCAATGATCATTCAAATGGTTTAAAGACAAGATGGTTTTATGTAAAAAGATGGAATATAAAGGCTTATTTAATCAGGGATCAAATGGGATCTGTTGTTACTTTACGATTCTTTCTGGATTTGCTGATATCTGACTGGAAATGGCATTGTGTACTGGATTTGCTTAAAGAGTTGAAATACAGAATGGCGAGTTTTATGTTTGTCAATGAATGTGATTATTTTAGGGCTTGGTACTAAAATGCTGGGAACACCGCTTGATGTTTTCTGTTACATGGAACATAGGCACAATAGCAAAATGATAACTCATGTTCAGAGATAGCATACCCCGAATACCATCTTAATTCATTTTTTGAGATTTTGTGTATGTATGTACCTGCAGGCCTTCAAGTCAATCTTGATTCCTGACAACTACCTGGACACACCCCTGTAGTTTCCTTGGCAAGATTTAGGAAGTGGTTTCCCATTGCCTCCGTCCTAGGGCTGAGTAAGAATGATTGGCCTGAGATCACCCAGCTAATATGTGGCTAAGACAAGATTAGAACTCAAGGTCTCCCAGTTTCCAGCTGATGTCTACACCAAATTGATTCATATTAGATTATTAACCTTGACTAATTCAGTATTTTCGAGTGCCAACAATTCATCCCTTCGGTCATGGAAGGAGATGTAAACTAGTTTTACCCTGTTTACACATAAAAAAATAAGCATGCAATTGAAGCCAGCATGAATGAATAATATATGATACAGGTTAACAGCTGATCACCTCCAGTACTTCAGTTTTTATGGAATATTGTATAACACAAGTATTCCTAGGCAACAAGGCGTGGTGAAGAAAATCAACTTTATGATTTCCCATTCTTCAAACTTTTTTTACTCCCAAGCTCTGACTTTCCTCTCAATGGCTGTACAGGAATGGCAGCATTCTTCACTCAGGCTCTGAACTCAAAAAAGCTGTCTCGGACTGCTCTCTCCTGTGAACTCACTCTCTTTCCTGAGGGGAAAGTCTGATATGTCCGTAGATTCTCTGGCGAGATGCGATTGAGGTGCCACATTGCTTTGGCACTCAGTGGTGGGCTAAAGGAAAGGGAAGGAAAGGAAAGGAAAGAACAAGCACACAATGGAGACATGGTTATATCACTGGTGACCGACCCCGAAAATACAACATGAATGTAACAGAATCCTAGTTGAAGAATTTTGGGGGAGAATCCATGAGGAAATGAAGATCCCAGTCTGAAAAGGGGTTCTGGTTGGAGTTCACCTGAACTGAAAAGATTTATTTATTCTTTTTTTAAAATAAATGTTTTTATTATTTTATATCATACATTTCCTTTCTGTGGTGAGCAGTGTGCTCTCTAGGTGTCCAAGGTGTTAACATACAAACATCATCATCATTATAATGGTATATATGTATTTATAAACAAATATGCGACAATATATAAACAAATATGCAATAACATCAATCACATTATAACATATATTATCTTCCATTATAGTATCAATTATATAACCATCAACAAAAATTTACTCATCTGTTTTTCTTTCTCATGTAAACTATATTTCACCTAATTCCACTCCTCTAACCGCAATATCTGTCATTTAACCATTTATAGAATAGTTCCCATGTTATGAAATTTATTTATTCTAAGAGCGCTCTTAACCCAAATCTCACTAGACATTCCAGCAGCACACATAATAATCTGAATTGGTTAAAAATTGCTTGTGTGTGTGAATATAAAGTACCCAGTTACTTAGTCTAGGAAGTATCAGTATCCAATGAGACCATAAGAATCCTGGCAAGGCCTCAAGAAATCATCTCTTCCAGACTTCCCGAGGAAGAAATGGCAGACCGAAGATGGTTCCACAAAAGAGTGGGGTGACATCCATTGCAGAATGAAGAGCCAATGAGCTTCTATAATTCCTCTCCTGACAAGAGGTCTTGAGATCACCCATAAGTGTTCCAGACAACTGCTCCTTGCAAGGAGACTGCAAAATTTTCCTTTTTTTCTTTTTTCCCCTGCACCTTCTACTTTGCTACTTTTCTGTGTGTGTCTGTCTGTGTGTGTGTATCATCTCTCTCTCTCTCTCTCTCTCTCTCTCTCTCTCCTATCTATCAATCATCAAAATTGTCTTCTTCCACACGGACCAATAATAAAATACACATGGTGATCATTAGTGAGGAAATATGTTCCATATAATGGCTTTGGTAACAGAGAACATAGATTTTCAGCTACCCTTTATCTCCAGATGTTTTTTGCAAAATGGTTCAATTGCTTTGGTTTAGATGTTACTACAACATGCCTGCTTGGATAAATTCATTTTTCCAAGGCTGAGCCTGTTTGGAACTAACCTTCTGGGATGGGTCAACTGTTTTGTGTGTTTCTACTACACAACAAACCCCTAACGTGAACATGGTCAACATGTTATTTATAATTGGTCTCTTAGGCTGAAGAAAACAATTTGATCAATTTAATTGGTCCAGTTTGACCCATTTAATTATTTATTTTTATGGATTTATTTACGGATCACAAGAGTTGATGAAAACCTGTTATCTTCATGCTTCCATCTCTGCTGGTAAAGCAAGCATACTGCAGGATTATACTCAAAATACCTAAACAAAGAAATTCTGCCACAATGTGATGACCTTCCCATAGCTGTCCTAGAAGGCCAATACCCGAAGATTCCTTCCTTGGAGAGACAATGTCCTGTGACTCTGGACATAGAGAAACAGAGCATGTTCTCCAATGCCTGCATTACTAAGAAAGTTGTATTAGACCAATCTCACCATTACTATATAAATGGCCAGGGCACACAGGATACCAACCCTGCTACAATTTACACTATTGTCAGGTTTTTTAGCAGTGTTTACAAT